TTTGGGACTTTTTGATAAAAGCCATTCTCACTGGAGTTAGGTGATATCACATTGTGGGGTTTTTATTTGCATTTCACTGATGATTAGAGATGTTGAGAATTTTTTCATATGTTTATTGGCCATTATTCTGTCTTCTTTTGAAAAGGTTTTGTTCATGTCTTTTGCCCATTTTTAATAGAGTTTTGATGTTTTCTTGATGATTTGCTTGAGTTCTTTGTATTAATACATTCTGGTTATTAACCCTTTAGCCCTTTATTGGATGTATAGCATGTGAATATTTTCTCCCATTCTGTAGGCTGTCTATTCGTTTTATTGATTGTTTCCTTGGCTGTGCAGAAGCTTTTTAATTTAATCAGGTCCCATTTATTTATTTTTATTGTTGCTGTGATTGTCATTGGGGTCTTCTTCATAAATTCTTTGCTTAGGCTGATATCTAGAAGAGTTTTTCCAACATTTTCTTCTAGAATTCTTATAGTTTCATGCCTTAGGTTTAAGTCTGTTATCCATTGTGAATTAATTTTTGTGAGTGGTGGGAGTTGCGGATCCTGTTTCAGTCTTCTACATGTAGCTATCCAATTTTCCCAGTACTGGTTATTGAATAGAGTTCTTTTCCCCAGTGTACATTTTATCTGCTTTGTTAAAGAACAGATAGCAATATAAGGATTGTTTTATGTCTCCATTCTCTGTTCTTATCCATTCGTCCATGTCTCTGTTCTTGTGCCAGTACCATGCTGTTTTGGTTACTATAGCCTTGTAGTATACAGCTTGAAGTCTGGCAAAGTGATGCCTCCTGATTTGTTCTTTTTGCTTAAGGTTGCTTTGGCTACTCAGAGTCTTTTCTGATTCTATATGAAGTGTAGAATTATTTTTTCTAGATCTGCAAAAAATGACTTTGGTATATTAATAGGTATTGCATTGAATCTGCAAATCACTTTGCATAGTATAGACATTTTAATAATGTTGATTCTGCTGATCCCTGAGCGTGATATGTTTTTTCCATTTGTTTGGATCCTCTGTGATTTCCTTCCTCTGTGTTTTGTAGTTCTACCTGTCGAGGTCTTTCCCCTACTTGATTAACTATATACTAGGTAATTTATTTTCTTTGTTGCTGCTGTCAAAGTTATTGAGTCTTTGATTTTATTCTCGGCTTGACTTTTTTTTTTTATATTTCAGAATATTATGGGGGCACAAAGGTTGTGATTACATCTTTTGCTTTTGTGCAGTTTGAGTCAAAGTTATAAGTGTGCCTATCACCAAGGTAGCATGCATTGTACACATTAGGTGTAAATTTACCTCTCCTCTCCTCCTCCTCCTCTCACCTACCTGGTTTCCGTTGAGTTTTACTATCATATGTGCACATGGGTGTTGATAGAATTAGTTACAATTTAATAGTGCGTATGTGTGGTGTTTGTTTTTCCATTCTTGTGATGCTTCACTTAGAAAAATGGTCTCTAGTCCCATTTGGGTTGTTTCAAAAGGTATTAGTTTACCACTTTTTATGGTGGCATAGTACTCCATAGTATACATATACCACATTTTATTAATCCACTCATGTATTGATGGGCACTTGGGTTGATTCCACATCTTTGTGATTGAGTGTTGTGCTGCTGTAAACATTTGAGTGCCAGTATTTTTTTTATTCATATTTTGAATTTTTTTGTTTTCTTATATTGTTTATCTGTGTTCTCTTGAATCTTATTGAGCTTCTTTAATCATTATTTTGAATCATTTTTCAGGCATTTCATACATTTATTTTTCATTGGAAACTTTCTGGCGAATTATTGTGTTTCTTCGGTGGTACCACTATGTCCTTGTTTCTTCATGTTTCTTATGTTCTTATGTTCATATCTGTGCTTCTGGTGCAATAGTTGCTTCTTTCAATTTTTTGGATTGAATTTTATGGGGAAAGAATTTTTCCTGTAGATGTATCTATGCCGTTGGTTGGGTAGGGCACATTAGCTTTGATTCTGGGTATGTGCAATAGTATAGTGTCTATATGATTTCTTTGGTTGGAAACAACGTGAGAGGTATCTGTGATTTTTCTGAGTAGCTTAGGGTACAGTTGCTAGTGGAAGCTGGGTGCAGTTTTTCTGGGGATGGAGATGTCAGATGGGCCAGTGCTCAGGTCTCATTAGTGGCAGCTGAGGGCTGAATGTACCTATCCTTGGGGCCCCAGATGACACATGTGAGCAACAGTGTTAGTGGATTCAGACGGGCTGATACTTGGACATCCATGCAGTTTGGTTGGGTGCTGGTAGTGTCAATGGTGGGCTGGGTGGGTGGATGAGTTCTTGAGCCTCTAAACAGCATGCATGTTATGGGTGATGGCAATAGTGTTGATGGGACAATCTTGGGCTCCCAGGTGGCATGCTGGGTACTTGAAGAGTGTTGCGAGGTGGTGGAGGCCTGTCCTCAAGCCTCTCCAATGGTTTGCATGGGGATAGGTTGTTATGGGCAGGGCAGGAAAATCTTTGTATTTTTACAATTTATGTTTACAAATTCTCTGCTATCTTTATTTTCCTTTCTTTGCAGTACATTTTCAATATGTGAATATTTACTACTTTTCGAAAGTTATATAGATTAATGCATTCAAGTGCTTATTGATATTTCTTATATTGCATAACTTCAAATTCACTTTAAGTATTTTGCTTATTCCCTGTAGAGTATTAATCAAGAATCTCAGAGAAGGATGTGAACTCTGCACTGATTATCTGTAATAGATTCAATCCTGCTCTTCCTCTACATGCTATGATTTTGGTCCAGTTACCTAACTGTTCTCTGCCTTAGTTTCCTATTTCATACAAACTTGACGGGTTTCCAACTGGATCATAGTTGTGAGAATTAAAAGAAATAATTTAAAGAGGGTCTTTCACACATAGTAGATACTCAATGAATGTTAGCTAATAATATTACTAATGGAAGACAAATTTTCAAGTATATGCATTTATTTGAGAATAAAAAACTATTTTTGAAACACTAGAATTTTCTCACAATTCTTCAAAGGAAGAAAAATTTACAGGTGTACAGTTTTGCACCTAGAAGTAAAACTAGTCTAAAAGTAAAACAAAAAAAGCACCTTAAACTGAAGAAAATGTCATAGAAAGTAGTTTCAGAAGTTCTATTTATTGCTTTATAATAAATTAACATATTTTAAAGTGGGAATTCAAGAAGTAATTTGATTAGTATCCTTTTAACTATTTATGCATTTTATTTTTCTCTAATATTTATATTTTATTATTATCGTTGTAGTTAGAGATGAGGGTCTCATGCAATATGTTGCCCAAACAGAACTTAAGTGATCCTCCTGCCTCATCCTCTCAAGTAGCTGAGACTGCAGGTGCATGTTGCTGTGTCTGGCTGTATTTATCTTACACTTTAATATTATAATATTATCTTCCTTTTATAATTGCATTTACTATCACAAATTTTAAATAGTTTTATTATCAACTAATGTGTCCTCTGATCGTGAAGCTGAAATTATATACCACAAAAAATCTTTCAAACTCTTAATTAGGCAAAATTCTTTCCTAGCATTATCGTATTAGTTAAGGTTACTGTTTAAGGACTTTCATATAAGTCACATACAATCATATGTGCCAATACAACATGAAAAGATACCTTCATGGAAACTAAGAGATGAAGAATATTCTAGTTTGTGTTCTTTTAGTTATTTTTGCAGAAATAGATCAAAATTTCTACCTTGGGAAAAATTGCAGTTGCGTTTGTAAACTTCCTTACACATTGCATGTTCATCTTTAAAAACTGTGGAAAATAAAGAGAAAAAAGACAAAAAATTCTACTCCCAAGAATAATTGTTATCACTTTAGTGGTAATTATTTAGAAGAAAATTAGTATATTTTCTTCCCTTTGATTGCTTTCTTGTTGTTGATCATATAGTATGTAGTGGTGGTTACTATCCCTGAGCAGAGAGTCCAAGCCCCTCCACTTCTAAGTTATGTGACTTCAGTTAATGACTTAACTTCTTCCAACCTTAGTTTTGCCATTTATAAAGTGAGAACAATCAGAATATTTTTATTATACTATTATTCAGAGAATAAAATAAATTAAATAGAACATATTAAGTATTTATAAAGACACATACAATGGTTTATGCTGGAAAGACAGTTCTATATAATCTAATTTTACACTTAACATATTATATATAATTTCCCATCTAATTGAGTATTTTTCAAAGCCTGGTTTTTAATGACTGTATAAAATACCATGGTGAATTTGTTTAAGTATTTCTGTATTTTAGAGAGTCAGTAGATTTCCATTCTTTCTTTCTTTCTTTTTTTTTAACAGACAATGTATGTAGCCATTATTCTTCGATTTTTCATAGGACAAATTTCAGAAATAGGAATTACTGGGTTAAAAAGAATATGGATATTTTTAAGTTTCCTTTGTGTTATATATTGCAAATTACCCTTTATCTTTCCTTTAGTGATTTCTGAAAGTGCTCATTTCTATGTTGACATAGAAATGTTGTTGACAGTGATATATTTTAAAAATTTAAAGTATATCTTTTGTATTTTTGTAACTACTTTTGTGACCACCTGTGTGATATATGAAATATGTCCTCTGAATGTTAACTCAGGCCAAAGACAAATATCAGTCTAATCCCCAGGCTCATGATGTATGCCTATATTAACTACACTTGTGCAGTTTTCACTATGCAGCCATCAGAGTATGTAAAAGTAGTCAGCTGGTATTTATAAAATGAAGGTTATGAATCTGAATTATATTCCCCAGAGATTTATGAACTATAAAATGGTATTATTATTATGTTCTGTCATTGCATTGTGCTATTTAGCCATCTTGCATTTTATGTGGTAAGCCTCCTTAGTATCCATTTGCTTGAAGGCTATTGTGTGTACTCATTTTCTATTGTATCATGGCAAATACTGTAATCTACAGGGTTCCTATTCATTTTGGAATTCATTTCACAGCTCACTAATTGTATGAATGAGAAGAGGAAATATATGCTTTTATTCTAAAGCATGCCAAGCAGATGGCCAAAGTTCATTACTACCAGTACTGTCAGTGTGGTCCTCTTCTGTAGGTAGTGAGCCTGGCGTTGATCTGTCAAACGTGAGGGTCCATTTAACACAGCATTTGATGTTTGCTGAGCCTCTGTTTTATTATGACTTATAAACATTTTATTTTTTATCATCATCCTCTAAAGCGATTGATCATTTGAGCAGGTGCAAACGCAGTAGAATTCCTATTTGTTTTACATGAGAAGCTAAATGAATTTTTATTCATATGGAAATTTTGGGTAAAGGAAACAGTACAAAAGATTAAGCTTAGTTTCTTGAAAAGAGACTAATACATGTATTGAGATTCAAAACTGTAGCATCATTTCCGAGATTGAACCTTTTAAAAATTTGAGATGAAGAAAAGATCAGGCTTTATATCTTTTTAAAGTTAAAAGGTTAAAGCAATTAAAGAGTTTAAGCTTTTTAAGTAAATCTCCTTTAAAATCTCTTTTTTTCTTCCTATACAAGGAAATGTTTACTTATTTACATTTATATACAATGTGTAATTAACATAACCATTCAAAATGTTAGCAATTGCATTGTGTGTGTGTGTGTGTGTGTGTGTGTGCGTGTGTGTGCGCGCGCGGTGAGACACAGCAAGATCCTGAAAGAGTCTGAGAAAGTGACAAAAGGGAAATAGAGAATGTCTTCACACATTTCCTATTTCAACAGAGATACTAGGACCATATGTAATTGGGTTATAACTTTAGGGAAGGGAATCTGGATCAAATGTTCTAATGGAGCTGATGTAGTAATTTGATAACAATGTCTTATTTAAGAGAACCAAAACATGTTAGAGATAATGTTTTCTCTCTTACATAAAGAAAAATGGGATATGTATTTCCCTCACTTCCCTCCATTTCCAAACCACTTACCACAGGTTTCACACATTGTATTAACTCTCTATATTTCCTTTTCCCTTGCCTTTCAGACTGATGCTGCTCTAATGTATGATGCTGTGCACGTGGTGTCTGTGGCCGTCCAACAGTTTCCCCAGATGACAGTCAGCTCCTTGCAGTGTAATCGACATAAACCCTGGCGCTTTGGGACCCGCTTTATGAGTCTAATTAAAGAGGTATGTCAGGAGAAACACATTTGCCTTGTCCTTTTTGTCCTCATGCTGAATGAAGTATTTATTGAAGTTTTTCTATCAAGTGACCTTTAACTTTTATCTTTAAACTAAACTTTCCCTCTGCCCCTACATAAGCAAAATTAACTTTTTTACTAAATAATATCAAATAAAAGGGGAGGGGAATTCAATTATAAATAAATGGAATATCCATCAAAATTTCTATCATGGTGCTATGACCCATGAAAGCATGATTTATGACATTGTAAGCTTTTGCCTTTCTGAATCTTTATGTGTGTTACTTTTCATTTATGAAGAGAGATAGGTATTTAAACAGTGTTTATATTTTAGGCAACAAAATATGAAATGCATGTTTAACATGAATATCATTTGTACTACACTAAAATTACACCTAATTTGTGAAGCTTACATTGTAATTATTTAGAGGAATAGTTCCTAATATAATGCATAGTTATTTTAATTGTATTAAAAGTTGACATAAAATGGAATATATAGATTAATGAAAGTATAAAGTTTACTTCATTGTATAATACAACCATTCTCATGACTATATATCATTTTTTATTATATCTATTATAATTATAGACCAAGCATGCCCATAGTGAGAAAAAAAGGAAAAATTTTTAATGATTATACATGTATACACATATACATACACATATATTTTCTTTCTATTCTTCCCATCATACAGGAAAGTTCTTTGTTAGCTTAGGATCTTTCCATAGATGAAAATTTAACTGAGCCTTAATCTTTGCTATAAAATATCATAGATATTATTACCATATAAGATATTCATTAATGACTTAAAATAAATCATCAGTTCATTGTAAAATAAATTATTCATGATAAAAATAAAAGCTCAGATAAGGTCATTATTAAGAATCTCTAGGTCCTTGGCAAAGAATATCTATACATTTTCCTCCTCTAATTTCTTATCAAACCTCAGATAGGTAAATTAATACTTTCTGAAGAATATGCAGCTTATTAGTTGCCCCACATCCTAACATTGACTTCTGGTGTAAAACTGAGCTTTAAAGAGCTGCGAACAGGCCTGAGTAGTCTACAGGCCTGGCTAGTGGAAGAATTGATTTTTTTTTAACTCAGCTCTTGAGTATTGAGACCATGACATGTTGAGCAGCCCTAAAAGAAGCAGTTGTATGACATTCCCCATTGTATTAATTGTATGGTATAATTGAGAACCTTGTCCACTAAATCACACAGTGTCCCTGTTATGAGGACCAACAGGAGAAATTTCTCTCAGGTCTCAGTACCAGGAAAAGCTGTTTCTCCTGAGCAGCTGGTACGTCTTAAATTGTAGACTCTGTATATTGTGTTTCATCATATTTTCTTCTTTGCTTTGGTTGTTAGGAAGTGAGGAATTGAATTTGTGATACAATTATTAGTTTTACAGTTTCACCTGTGTACATTTTTTAATGCTCACTCTATTCCAGATTTGTTTTACTATTCTATAGTTATATTCTTGTGCTTTTGGTCCCTTGGTCTATTTTTGTACTATCATGTATTTTTGTTAACTACCTAAAATTTTTTTCTTTAGAAGAAGTTGGATTAAAAATAATTTTTCTTCCGTATTAGAGACCAGTTAACACGTTTAACTTTAGAGAAGGGATGCTGCAATATGTATATAGATATATTTTGTAATTTTTATATTTCATTTGTAATTTATTAGCCTAAAACTATTTTGAAATCCCTACACATAAGTACCCAAAAAACCACATTGAGTCTGAGAAATGTAGTCATGATGATAATAATTTGTAATCCTTATTGAAATGTTACCCTTTATCTACTGGGATTTACTTCTTTTGAGTTTCAGTATGTATTATTTTAAACATTAATGTCATGAGTATACATTCCATCATTTAAAAATTTCATATATAATGATTTTTTCATGCTATTACCAAATGACAAATAATGGAAAACTTATACTTTCGGCTATATAACCAACAGAATGAAAAAACTTGTTATATTTTTAAAAAGTCCTGATATTTGCTCACCTTTAAAGGGTAACAACCTTATGTAACTATATTATTATATTCCCACCTCCTTGTATATGAAAAGCTCCTTTTACAGGAAGTACAGCTTAATATGAAGTAATTATAATACATTTTTCCCAGTTTAACTGGGGAAGTAAAATAACGAGTTAATTATCCTAGGGCAAATGTGTGAAATTAAAGCGGCATATATAGGTTTCCTGGATTCAGTTTCTTTCATTGCCGTTTCATTTCATATTATTATGAATTTAGTAGTGGTATTTTATAACAGTAGTTCTATCTATAACCTCCAGTGAGATACTCCATATCTCATTTATCATAATAAGTGACTAAATTCTTCTCACTTTGCTAAAAACAATTCACTATTTAAAACATAATATCATGAGTACTGTTCGGCTAGTTCCAATTTAATAGTGAATACATGTGGTGTTTGTTTTACCATTCTTGCTATACTTAACCAAGGAGAATGGTCTCCAGTTCCGACCAGATTGTTACAAAAGGAATTAATTCATTTTTTTATGGCTAGGTAGAACTCCATGGTATACATATACTACATTACATTAATTGCCTCATGAAATCATGGGCACTAGGGTTGATTCCACATCTTTGCAGTTGTGAATTGTGCTGAAGTAAAACTCAATGAAAATCAAGCAGGTGTGAGGGGGGGAGGAAGGGATGGGTGAAATCACACTTAACAGGTACAATATACTCCATCCGGGTGATGAGCACACGTATAACTCTGTCTCAAGCAGTACAAAAGCAATCCATGTAACTAAGACATTTGTATCCCTATAATATTCTGAAATAAAAAAAAATCAAATTTCTCATAGAAAATAGTTATGATTAGAAAAATGTATTGTATAAAATGAAAAATTTACAATAAGTTTTATACTGAAACTAGCTGAAACTAGGATAATTTATTTAGGAAAATATCCTATTTTAAAAATCTATAGCAATGTAAATTAATGAAAAGTAATTAAGATCATTTTCCTTTTTTTTGTGAAAAAATGTTTTATCTTCTCTTCCTTTGCCTCTTTATAATCTTTTTTTTTTTTTTTTTTCTGTTTCCATAGGCACACTGGGAAGGACTCACAGGCAGAATAACTTTCAACAAAACCAATGGCTTACGAACAGATTTTGATTTGGATGTGATCAGTCTCAAGGAAGAAGGTCTGGAAAAGGTACTTGAAGCATTCAGCTTATTTGCTTTAATTATTAAATGAAACATATCTTAAAGAAGGAAGAAATATTCTCTGTTGTATGTGTTGTAATTACATTTCATTGACATTTGACTTTACTGAGTGACTCTAAACAATAAATATTTAATTAATTACATTGGTTATAGTATTTGACAATTAGGATTCAAGGATAAAAGGTGTCTTAAAACAATTTAAATATTTGATTTTCTCACCAGGTTTTTCTGATACTTTGAAATGCACATAAACTTAATTATTCTTAAGATTTAATGTAGCAGTTAGAAAATATTTGGTTTAATATGAGTCTTTGTATATGCAGCTTATAAGCACTTGTGCTTGCATAAACTTTCCAACTTGGAGAAGGCCACAAAAAAGTCTTAAATATAGAATTATGTTTCCATTGTTGAGTAATATTCAGGTGAAATATTTGAATTAATCTATACAGAATAAATTAGGTATGTCCATAAATGCAACACACCACAATGGATCTGTCTTACTTGATTCTATTTTTGCGAATTGCCATAAAGCACAAGCAAGGCTTATACAATTTGGATATGTGCTTACTTTAAGAATATTTTAGTGTAAGTTTGCTTATATTTGTAATGTATACATTTAGATATTTTTCTGATAGAGTCATTCAAAATTACAGCTTAAAGAGATATTTTATAAGAACTTGAGAAAATTCTATTTGACTGAGATAATACTACATTAAAGATAGTAAGGTGTCTTATATTTCATCTGGCAATTAAACATGAAGCACTATTCATAGATGGAATCTGAAGAGGGAAGTTGAGTCCAAGGGTACTTTTAGCCTGAGAGATAACAGCAGATTTGAATGCTGATTTCAATTATCCAGGAGAGAGTAAAAACACGTTTCTTATAATGTCACCCAGTTAAAGTACATCATAACCAACTGGTGACTCAAATTGATAAGGCTGTTACCTCCTCCCACTGAGAGTTTCGGACATACCCTTTGTTGAAACCACAAAAGTCAGGAATATTTTATAATAAACTAGAACCTAAATATTCATGAAGCAGTTTCGTCCTAACTACCTTGCTCCCAAGATTAGAACATTAGTTTGTACCCAAGACAGGAGGTGATAATGGTGGAGTTTAGTTAGCTCTCAAGGGTTTTATCTCATTGGTAACTGGAGATGTTATTTCCTTATTTTTTTTGAAATAGCCAAGTCATTAGCATGAATTTTGACCATTACTTACATTTTAACACCTTGCATAAATGTAGTGACGCTCTTCATATAACCGTAGATCCAGTCCTGTTTTGGATTAAAAATAAAGAAAACATGTGAGAAGTTTTCTCTATGCTCTAATGTGGCTTATAGAAAGACCTGAATTGGCTAGGTACAGTGTCTCTTACCTGTAATCCTAGTACTTTGGGAAGCCAAGGCAGGAGATCACTTGAGGCCAGGAGTTTGAGGTCAGCCTGGGCACCACTGTGAGACCTGACCTCTACAAAGAATAACAATTAAAAAAAAAAATTAGCTGGGCATGGTCATGACCAGGAGTTCAAGGTTACAGTGAACTGTGATCACACCATTGCATTCTAGCCTGGGCAACAGAGCAAGATCTTGTCTCAAAAAAAAAAAAAAACAAAAACAAAAAAACCAAACCTAAATATAATGGTTATCAAGTATATATGATAATCTACCATACTGCTAAGCAAGGTAAAACAGTATTAATTATGCATGTTGTCCTGAAATTCCATAAGTATTTTGAATTCTCTTCTGAAATCTGAAAATTCATTTTGCTAAATTAATTACACACCATCCTTATCCTTAAGAGGCTTTTCATATAGAGTGATCAGATAATACTTATTTGTGAATAAACACAATCAAAAGCTATCTGTTTCAAGCCTTCAAAAGTGTAATGAAAATATTTCCCATAAAAGATACAATTATGGCTGAGTAGTACTCCATGGAATACATATACCACATTTTATTAATCCACTTATGTATTGATGGGCAATTAACCTGGATGGAACTGGAGACCATTCTTCTAAGTGAAGTATCACGAGAATGGAAAAACAAACACCACACGTACTCACTATTAAACTGGACTAATCCAATAACACTCATGTGCACATATGGAAATAAAACTCATCGAAATCAAGCAGGTGGGAGGGGGGAGAAGGGGATGGATAAATTCATACCTAATGTGTACAATGCACGCTGTCTGGGTGATGGACACACTTATGACTCTTACTCAAACTGTACAAAAGCAATTTATGTAACCAAAATGTTTGTACCCCCCTAATACTATGAACTAAGATAGATTTTAAAACAAGAAAAGTAAAAAAGGAAAGATATAATTAGTAAAGAGTCACAGTAGATGCACTAGAAGGAGTATTTAGAATTAGCCTTTGAATAATGGGGAATTATTTATTGATAGAGATTGAGTCATTTCAGAAAGAGATAACAATATGGGGAAAGACATAGGGTTTGATTTGATTATTACACACACACACACACACACACACACACACACAGAGTAGAAGTGGAAGATGATAGAGGTGAAACGCTGCATTTGAGTCATAAAATGAATGCCTTGTCAAGATATTTGTGGTGTATTATTACACTATATAAATTCAAAGAGAGAATAGCCTGGAGGTTGCTTGGGAAGGAATTACAGTTTGGAATAATTTTAGCATGGAGCCATGAATGTGAAACTATTCTAAGTGAAAGTGGAGATAAATAAACAGTGACAGGAGGCATTAACTGAACCTTCAGCAATGTTGTTAGTTCAAGGACTAGCAGAGCATTGGGACTATGTTTTTAAGGAGAAATGGAGGAGCCTGGTAACAAAAGGGAGAGATACCAATGATAAAGGTACAAACCAAAGTTTGGAAAAGAAATGAACAAGTGGGAGAATTAATATTAGAAAGAAATTGGTACAAATCTTCCTTTGAAATGACAGATAAGGTACTGAGAGTGGGTGAAGCTAAGTTACAGAGAAAGGGAACAAAAAGAGTTCACGTCAAATGTTTTCAATGTCCTTAAAGATTAGTACATGAAGTCACCAGCTAAAAGATGGAAATAAATTTAGTCAGATCTTAAGAGTAATTGGAAATGCCATTTTGGCAGATTTGATTTTGACTTAATAGTGTTAAAATGCTGCTAAGTAGCAAAAGGTCCTCATTTTTTAATTCAGTAGAATGGTTAAGAGCTCAAGGTCTAGATTCAGACAGAATTGGGCTCAAATTCTCACTCTACCATTTACTATTTATGGACAAGTTTCTTAATCTCTCTAGAACACAATGTCCTCAACTGAATCATGGGGCAACAGTAGTATCTGCTTCATTAAGACTAGTTTTGCTAATTTTACTTTTTTCCTGAAAAGTATAGTTGCCAACCCATAGAAGAAAATGACACAGTCCCTACCTTGGTAACCTTCACAGTTTAGAAAGGCCAATAGATGGTGATTCAGGAGGCTTGAATTCCAATTCCACTTCCATCACAATTGAGTGATGAACTTCATCCTTCCACCCCACTTCTCTGTGCCAAATTCTTCAACTCAAACATATGGAGTGCAAAGGGCTTTCTTCTTGTGGAGTCTGAAGTAATGATACAGTGGACTCTAAAAGAACCTATAAATAACATCTTGATAGAAATTCTAATTGTTAACATTTAATAATTCTGTTTCACATGAATAGATGGGAAAAATGAACAAAGAAAACATATAAAATACTAACTTTATCCTTCTTCTCATGCCTATTGTTTTTTTTTTTTCATTCTGTCTTAGTGATCTTTGACCAGAACACTGCATTAATTTATTCAATCCTCTAACAAATATGGAATGAACATCTATTTTATGCCCTCATGAAAGTTATACTCTAAGTGAAGGAAATCTGCCAATAATAAATACGTTCATAAAATTAGAATATAGGATTGGGAAGTAATAAGTGATAAAAAGAAAAGTTTCTTATTTTTATGTCATTAAATGATAGATTTTAAATCATTTTCTGAAACATGAACCTTAGGATTAAAACAGCTAATAGGAAGAAAGTCCACACTTCTGATGTTTACAACAGTGGAGCAGGTAAACTAGGAAGAAACAAGTATGCGTCTGATGAACAGAGAAAAGGGGGCCATGTTCAGGGGTCCTAGCTTGGAGTTGTGATGCTGCTATGGTCATCATTTCCACATGGATAGTTTTCACAGATCAAAACAAATCCTTTCCACTCTATCCTGACAGAGCCCTTGTTTGGAACCCAGCCCAATTAGCGGTAGTCTAAAAAGGATCACCAATACTGCATACACAGCCAGCCACGTGTGTTCAAACAAGCTCTCTGGGGCCATTGTAATGCCCTCGCTGGAGCAGAGGAGCAGAATAAGGGTGAAAGACAGCAGGTGTCAATTTTCGTGTTTAAGAGCCTGGTATTGAGTGCTCAAGAAAAGGAAAAAGAAAATCAGAATAAGTAGTTTTACTAGCTTGAATTCTTTTGGTCAGTTCAAAGATGATATTCTGTATTCTAATTTCAAAATATGTTTAGAATCCATCCATATTTTGTCACATTTATTGCTGAAGTCACAACCAGGGTACCTTTCAACTGTACAATTATGTTGGTATCCCCATAAGCCTCTCTGTTCTATCTGTCTTATAACCCATTCTCTAAACCTCAGCAGACAGACCTGTTTTTAAAAGAAAATTGATCCATGTCATTCCTCTTTTTAAACCTTTCCATAGATTCACTTTGTATTTTGAGTAAAATCCAAACATGACCTGCAAAGCACTGGCTACCTCTCATCACTCTCTCAGGTATTTTCTATGGTCCACCTACACAGGTTTTCTCTCGTTTCCTCACAGAAACGAAGTTTTCTATTACTTTGACAAATAGTAACAGAAACAGTTTTCCCAGCATGGAATATCCATTCTTAATCCTATTGCCTGGTGAACTTTTACTCATCCTGGAGAATTTCTTCTTGAATATTACTTCCTTAGAAAGGTCTCCCCTAAGTCTCTAATTAAAT